CCGTTTTGAAGAGACACCGCCCCGCGTCTCCTCTCCTTTCTCCTCCCCCTCCTACCTCCTTTCATCCCTGCCTCTGCCCTCCGCATGTTTGTGCTTCGGCACACCCAGTGCAACGCTTCATGGCCCCGTAGGGAGCTCCACCGAAGGCCCCAGCGGCAGGATCCACATGGCGGCGCCGCCCCATTTTGGCGCACCCCTCAGACGGTTCGTGGTCCCATAGGGTGCTCCACCGAAGGCCCCAGTGGCGAGGTCCACATGTCGGCGCTGCCCCATTTTGGCACACCCCTCACACTGTTCGTGGTCCCGTAGGGAGCTCCGCCGAAGGCCCCAGCGGCGCCGCGTCATCTTGGCGCACCCCTCACACGGTTCGTGGCCCCATGGGGAGCTCCACCCACCGAAGGTCCCAGTGGCGGGGTTCGCATGGCGGTGCCGCCCCATTTTGGCGCGCACCTCAGACGGTTCGTGGCCCCACTGGGAGCTCCACCGAAAGCTTTGTCGCAGCAATGGATTCACAGCAGCGTGTGACTGGGCCATTCGCCAGGATAATTCTTCAGGCGCCTTCCAGTTTACCTGCACGGAGGGCGCGTCGCCTGTCCAGCCCCTCAAAAATGCCAGGTTTTGTGCAACTCGGGGCCTTCCTGCACGCTTTCACGGGGCCCAGTGCTGCACGAGTAGGCGGCGGGGGAGGGGAGGGGGGCAAGCCACGTGCAAGTCAGCTTGCCCGAGCCTGCTCGACCACACGATCCGATGATGAGGTGGAGGAGGCGCAGACGGGATGAGGAGTAGGAGGAGGAGGAGGAGGAGGAGGAGGAGGAGGAGGAGGAGGAGGAGGAGGAGGAGGAGGAGGAGGAGGAGGAGGAGGAGGAGAGTTGGAGGCGTAAGACGAGTAGAGCATTACCGTGCAACGCTGGGTCGGCGCGACATCGGGATGGCTGCTCCCTGTGGCGTGAGCAGCAGTTTGGCCTGGAGGCGTGCCGTGCCAGACCGGGTGTGATCAGGCTGGAGATGGCCAGGCGGAGGCGCGAGGCTGGAGAGCCAGCATGGCCTTGCTAGGCCTCTGGTCGCTGGCCCCGGTCTTGACGCGGCAAGGGGTCGCCAGACCTGTTCGAAAGGGGGCGAGCGAGGGGAGGATTTGAAAGAGCTTAGGCAGAGGAAGAAAATAAGCATTACCCCTGTGCGACCCTACCTAGAAGTTTGAGCCCCTAGGAAAGCAGCATTAGTTGCTATGCTATGCTGTGCTATGCCATGCTATGCTGCGCTATGCTATGCAATGCTATGCTATGCTGCACTATGATATGCTATGCTATGCTATGCCATGCGATGCTAAGCTATGATATGTCATGTTGCACTGTGCTATGCTAAGCTATGTTATGATATGTTATGATATGCTAAGCTGCGCTGTGCTATGCTATGCTATGCTATGCTATGCTGCGCTATGCTATGCTATGTTATGCTTGGCTATGCTATGCGATGCTATGTTGTGCAAATGCAGCGCTGTGCTATGCTAAGCTAAGCTAAGCTAAGCTAACCCTCTAGGCAGAGCCTAGATAGGGAATTACACATTGCTTTTGCATGGCCTTTACTTTGCTTTGCTTTTGCCTTTGCTTTGCTTTGCTTTGTGTTGCTTGTGCTTTGCTTTTTGCTGTCGCTGCTGTTGCTTTGCCTTTGCTTTGCTGCTATGCTCTGCTATGCTATGCTATGCTATGCTATGCTATGCTGCGCTGTGCTATGCTGTGCTGTGCTGTGCTGTGCTGCGCTATGCTATGCTATGCTATGCTTTGCTGCGCTATGCTATGCTATGCTGGGCTATGCTATGATATGATATGATGTGCTGCGCTATGCTATGCTACGCTCTGCTCTGCTATGCTGTGCTCTGCTATGCTAAAGCTCAGCGAAGCTAAGATGAAGGCAAGCTAAGCTAGGATAAGCCTGAGCTAAGATGAAGCTAAGCGAAGCTAATATTAAATAAGCTAAGCTAAGGTGAGATAAGCAACGCTAAGCTAAGGGGGCGTAACTGGGGGAACCGCGGGGCGGAAATCCGGGGAACCGCCCGGGGCGATCTGCACTGCCCGGCCCCTTTAAGCTCAGAGAGTAAGAACGCTTCTAGGCAGAGCCTAGGTAGGGAATCAAAACATACAAAGAGTTTAGGCAGAGGGAGTGGGTGCGGGTACCTCCCGCAGGTGCGGTGCCTTCCACACCCTGTCGAAGCGGGCCGGAGGCCGCACGTCGGGGCTGTTCTCTGCCGTGCCGGGCCCACGAGCGAAGCCGGGCTCGGCGGAAGCGAGGCGCCACTTTCGCGCGAGTCCGCGGGAGGGGAGAGAGCGCACGCCCACCACCTGCCTCTGGTACAGCGACAGGGGGTGACCGCGTGCTCTTCGCCTCGAGCCCACGTGAAGCTGTGTCTGTGACTTCGAGCGCCTGGGGCACTGTGTGCGGCAGGGAGACGTGGCGGGGCCATGCAGACCAGAAGCGCTCGTAGGTGTGATAAGCAAGGGGGAGGGAGCATCCAAAGGATGGGTGGACCACCCTCACTTGGCGGACCCTGCAGCAGCAGACTTGGCCACAAGAAATCACGGACTTGGCTGCTATCGTTGACCTGCCAAGGGCGCCCCGAATCTGAACAGAGCCTGCTTCGAATCTATGCCAGGGCTTCCTACCATTGGGCCCCAGCCCTACGAGTTTACAGGCACGCACGCCGCAGGATTCAGGCCTGGCCGTCCCCGATGTGTTGTGACGCCGACCAGCTTCCCGAGGCACGGGCAGCTCATGCTCTTGGGACGCTTCCGCTCGCCCGGGTAGATGTCGCAGGCCTAGAGGCTGACACCAACTCCAATACCGGCGGTGTGCCTCCACCGAGGGAAGAAGATCCCGATCTCAGTGATGGTGGTGATATTCTGGCTTCCAAGGTGACCGAAATATCACCACCAACGCCGACATCTAGGATCATCTTCTCCCCGTGGAGGCAGCCCCCTGTGTTGGTGTTGGCGCCCATTTCCAGGCCTCCAAGGATGGTGGGGCACCGCTGTCGGGGCTCGAGAGACGCGGGTCCCTGCAAACGGGGGTCAGTCAGAGCGCCGGATCTTGCAGGATCCTGCGGGGCCAGGGGGGGGGGCACTGACCCGGGCTGGGGTGCAGGATCCTGCAGGCTCTGGCGAGCTCCTGCAGCGCCTGGTCGACCCGCCGAGTCTGGACTGACCCGGACCCGTAGCCCCCCCACGCCTGCGGACACGGCGCCGGCTCGCCGCGCACGACGAGCCCTGCCGCGGGGAGCCCCCTCCGAGGCGTGGCGCCCCCGCCGAGGCCGAAGAGCTCCTCGGCGCAGGGCCGACGCCCTGCTCGGGCCCGCGGGCCGTGCTCCCTGGGGAGGGGGGGGGGGGGCAGCCACGGCAGTGCCCCGGGTGAGGGTGGAGCGTCCTTGGCAGGGCAGGGAGCGGCTTGAGCCAAAACGGCGACTGGAGGGGGAGGAGGAGGGAGAGGAGAGAGGGGGGGGGGGGGGCAAGCCAGGTGCGCTCGCGTCACATCTGACGTCCTACCCATCCCTCCCATCCCTTCCCATGGCGTAGAGCTCCTCTATATTCGCGCAGTTGGATGCCGAACAGGGCAATGATCCCGAGAGGATGTGCGATGCATCGTGGAGCACGGCATAGCAGGGCGTAGAAGAGCACGGCAGAGCGTAGTATGTCATAGCATGGCGTGGCCTGGTGTAGTGAAGAATTGCATCACAAAGCGTTACAACGCAAATCATGGCATCGCACAGCGGCACATAACATAACATGACATAGCATGGCGTTGGAGGTCAAATCGTAGCATGGCATAGCATGGCTTGGCACTGCGTAGTCAAACACAGCATGCCCTAGCATTGCAGCTGAAGGCATGACATCGCACACTGGAACACCACATAGCATTGCATTGCATGCCGTGGCATGGCTCTGGGAACACGATTCGGAACGAGCGGAAGCGCGGAAATGAGGCCAGCGCTGCCGCGGGAGCACGATTCGGAACGAGCGGAAGCCCGAAAATGAGGGCAGCGCTTCCGAGGAAGCAACATTGTGAAAATAACCCAAGCGAGAACCCAATTCCCAGGAATCCTTTGTGTAAAAAACGGTACGCGGAGGGGGAGCGAGCATCTTCCGTCAGGGAGAGAGGAGAGTAGTATTCATATTGCGTAATTGTGGAGGGAGAAGGGCCGCCCATGTCTCAACCGACCCTCTTCCGTTTAGAGTTTCGGGGCACGCGTCGTGAAATAATCGCGAGGCGCGGCGCGGATTCTTCCGTCGATCAGGGCCGAGGCCGACGAACGGGATCTCTGAGGTGGTCAGCCAGTTTGGTCTGTGCCTCCCACGGCATCCAGACTTCTAGCGTCTTGAAAGTCAGCATGGCGTATTTTCACCGTTTTGTGCCGCACAACAACAACAGCAACAACACCAACAACAACTACAACAATAACAATAACAACAACAGCTACTACTACTACTACTACTACTACTACTACTACTACTACTACTACTACTACCACTACTACTACTACTACTACTACTACTACTACTACTACTACTACTACTACTACTACTACTACTACTACTACTACTACTACTACTACTACTTTTCGGCTCCAGGGCCGTCAAAACACTGGACCGTTTGTCCCCAGGAAGGGGGTCGAGAGGTCCGAGGAGCACGCCCTGAAGACCACGACGCCAGCGGTCTGCTCCTGCTCTCTCTCCGAAGGCATCTCGGGCTCGGGGTCGGGGCGCGCTGGAGGGAGCACACGCCCACTGGAGGAGAAGGAGGAAGAGAAAAGAATAAGGACAAGGACTAGGAAGACTGGGTGAAGATGTTGGGCCTGGACTTCCTCCTCGGATCCCTGCCTCTCTCTCTCTCTTTCTCTCTGAAGGCATCTCGGGCTCCGGGTCCGAGCCCGCTGGAGGGATCACACGCCCCACCCGGCTCTCATCTCAGCCAGAGTCTCGACTCAAGCTTACCTTCCCGCGCCGAGCCCCTGGATGGCCAGGAGGTCCGAGGGCGGCGGCATGGCGTCCACCGACATGCGCGCGGTTCAGGCGAACCTGAACAGCCAGAAGGTGCCGGAGGGAGGCAGGGGACAGGAGGGCGGGGACCCGAACAAGAAGGCCTCGTTCACCTACAACGCAGAGCGGGTGCTGGGCAGCGGTTCCTTCGGGATCGTGTACCAGGCTCAGGTGGTCGAGACCGGGGAGTCCGTGGCCATCAAGAAGGTGTTCCAGGACAAGCGGTACAAGAACCGCGAGCTTCAGATCATGAAGGAGCTGCGCCACCCCAACGTGGTGGAGCTGAAGCACGCTTTCTACACCTCAGGTGACAAGCCGGGCGAGACTTATCTGAACGTGGTGATGGAGTACTGCAGCGACACGGTTTACCGTGTCATGAAGCATTACAACAAGATGAAGCAACCGGTGCCGCACATCTTCGTGCAGCTGTACTCCTACCAGATGAGCCGCGCCTGTGCGTACATCCACGCTGTGGGGATCTGCCACCGCGACATCAAGCCGCAGAACCTCCTCGTGGACGGCCACACGCACGCGTTGAAGTTGTGCGACTTCGGCTCGGCCAAGCGGCTTGTGAAGGGGGAGCCCAACGTCGCGTACATCTGCTCTCGCTACTACCGAGCGCCAGAGTTGATTTTTGGAGCCACGGACTACACGACAGTCATCGATATCTGGTCGACCGCGTGTGTGACCGCCGAGCTCATCCTGGGGCAGCCCATCTTCCCCGGGGAGAGCGGTGTGGACCAGCTGGTGGAGATCATCAAGGTGTTGGGCACGCCCACGCGCGAGGAGCTCACAGCGATGAACCCCAACTACACGGAGTTCAAGTTTCCCCAGATCAAGCCTCACCCCTGGCACAAGGTCTTCCGCACGAAGACGTCTCCCGAAGCCATCGACTATGTCGCGAAGCTCCTGGTCTACGACCCCAAGACACGCCCCTCGGGGCTGGAGTGCTGCATGCACGGGCTCTTCGACGGCCTCCGGGATCCGAACACCCGCATCAGCAGCACCAAGCCGCTGCCGCCCAACCTGTTCACGTTCTCCCGGGAGGAGATGGCGATCATGGACGCCGACCAGAAGGCCAAGCTCGTTCCCGAGGGGGCCAAGTAGAAGAGCGGTTAACGGCTTTTCCATCACTCCTCGGGCCCCTTCAGAGTACGGTCGGGAGCTCTTAGGCAGCGTGTCGCTCCGCCGGTTCTGGCCCACCGTGCTCCGGAGCGACACGCTATCCACTTTCTGGTCCCGATGCGTCAGCGTCCCGCCTTCCCGAGCCTCCCGCCCCGCCGAGAGGAGCGACACGCAATCCGCTCGCAGGGCATGGCGTGTCGCGGGGGCCGCCGCGGCGACACGCTGTCCAAAGGATCCTGACCGTAGAGGCCGCGATTGTCTCCCGGGGTCCCCAATGCTCGACTGGCCGACCGAAGGAGCAAAGCGGCGCTAATATAGTCAACACGGACAGTAAGGATGAACGACTTTCCAAGGTTGCCCTCGCATTCTTGCCCTTCGGCCCGTCCTTGGCTAGTTTCGCTGGCCGCACTCCGCGCGCAAGGGGTCGACATGGCCTTCCAAGGCCCCCTACCGTGCATCCTTACTATACGCGTTGACTTTACTCGTTCCTACTGTAGTGCGTCAGCGCGGCGAGTGCGTAAATGAGTCGGGTGGTCCTTTCCCGCCTTCGCACGCCGAGCGCCCACCATGATCTGTTCCAAGAGGGGCGCAGAAAACATGGCATCTTTCTTCCCCTTTGGCGTGTGTGTGTGTGTGTGTGTGTGTGTGTGTGTGCGTGTGGGTGGGTGGGTGTGGGTGGGTGGGTGGGTGAGGGGGGGGAAAAGAGAGGAACAGGAGGAAAAGGAGGTGAAGGAGGAGGAGGAGGAGGAAGATGTCTGGGGCAAGGGGGTGCTTGCGGGCTTTGCTCAGGGCCGAGTGACACATCGTGCCAAGTGGGTCCCCGTCAAGATGTGGGCCGTTGACCCTTCTGTTCTGCAGGCCCACTGGTGACCTGTTCGTGGGTTTCATGAGCAGTCCGAGGTCAGTCGTGTGACCCTCCTGTTCGCAACGTGAGCCTCTTGGATGAGGAGGAGGAGGAGGAGGAGGTGGAAGCGGAGGAGGGGGAAAAGGAGGAGGAGGAAGAGTCGGAGGCGGAGGGGCGGAGGAGGAGTGGAGCAGAGGGGGGCGGGAGGCGGAGGAGGAGGACGAGTGGAAGCGGAGGTGGAGGAGGAGGGCGGAGGGGAGCGCGGAGGAGGAGGAGGAGGCGGAGGAGGGAGGAGGAGAAGGAGGTGGAATGAGGAGGAAGAGGAGGAGGAGGAGGAGGCGGAGGAGGAGGAGGAGGAGGCGGAGGCGGAGGCGGAGGAGGAGGAGGAGGGGAGGAGGATGAGGAGGAGGAGGAGGGAATGGATGAGGAGGGAGGAGGAGGAGGAGGAGGGGGAGGCGGAGCGGAGGCGGAGGAGGAGGAGGAGGAGGAGGAGGAGGCGGAGGAGGAGGAGGAGGAGAGGAGGAGGAGGAGGCGGAGGAGGAGGAGGGAACGAGGGAAGAGGATATGTGGCAGGAGGAGGAGAAGGAGGAGGCGGAGGCGGAGGCGGGGGTGGAGGCGAAGGCGGAGGCGGAGGCGGAGGCGGGGGAGGAGGAGGAGGAGGAGGAGGAGGAGGAGGAGGAGGAGGAGGAGGAGGAGAAGGAAGCGGAGGAGGATGAGGAGGAGGATGAGGAGGAGGAGGAGGAGGAAGAGGAGGAGGAGGAGGAGGAGGAGAAGGAGGAGGAGGAGGATGGAGGATGGATGATGGAGTTTGACGGATGTGGCGGACGGAGGGGAATGATAAAGTATATGAGGATGGAGGAGGAGGAGGAAGAGACGGATGAGGAGGAGGAAGGATGATGAGGAGGAGGAAGGAGGAGGAGTGAGGAAGAAGAGTAATGATACAGACCAGACTACTGACAATGACAGTACTTCACCTGACAGTAGTATTTCTATTATTCATATTACTAATCAGTTCATTTATATGGGATTATCATGTATACAACACCTACTACTGCTTATAATGCGACTGAGATGAGAAGACGGGGGCGACTAATCAAACTAGTAAGAACGTTAGTACTATTTTTATGAAGCGCAAGACGACGACACCTAGTACGAACACGACGACGAGGCATACTACTGATGATACAGCGGATTAGTAGTACTGCTAAGAAGAACGCGGCCAGTACTAGTAACACTAATAATGATAGAGTTACTACTCAGCGTAACAAGAAGAGTATTACGAACACTAATAGTAGTAACATTGTTAACAGCAATAATAACAAGACGAAGGCCACTGATAATACGAATCAGAAAACTAAGGAGGATGATGAGGATGAGGAGGAGGAGGAGGAGGAGGTGGAGGAGGAGGTGGGGGAGGTAGGAGGATATGGCGTTGCGTGTGACAAGTAGAAGTGCCGCCCCAGGTCCAGACCCCTGGAGGTCCCCAGAGGTTACTGCTGGGCCTCGGGTAGCGCCCCAAGCCCACCTGGGGGATCAACAAAAAAGAAAGCGTCCAGTATGCCCGACCCTCGAGGGCACAGTTTAGCGGTTGTATCCGAGTGGGGCATCCGAGTGGGGTGGTGTAGTCTTTCCAGACATGTGGCCGCCGAGATTCTCTCAGAACTTGGCCACCCAGACCTCTCGACCTCTTCCCCGGGGCCGGCTAGGTTATGGCCCCGCGGCCCGACCCCCAACGGCCGAAATCGCCAGAGCCCCGCCGTCGCGACGTTTCCGCGGCGCGAGGGAGGTCTGGAAAGGAAGCCGAGGCTCCAGCGCCAGCCTCGTCGTTGAGGGCCCCCGGGTCGGAGCCCGGGGCGCCCTGGGCCGAGCTGGCAGGCACCACCGCCGACTGGCGGGCGGCAGGGCGCCGGCCCACGGGGGCCCAAGGCGGCGAGGAGAGGAGGCAGAGTCTGCCACCGCCTCGCGGGCCCTCACGCACTTTGCGCTTCCGTCGCAGCGGCCCCCGTCTGCATCCTCTGCACGGTGAGCGCCTGCCCCGCAGACCTTTCGTCTCCTCCTCCTCCTCCTCCTCCTCCTCCTCCTCCTCCTCCGCCTCGCCGCAACCGCCCGCACTGGCCGCGCGATGGCGCGGCACTTGCCTCTGCCCGCGCTCTGCATCCGAAGACGCCGCCGCCGCAGCCGAGGTGCCCCCCCACGAACCGAGGAAGCGCTGCCCAGGAGCTGCCTGGGCGCTGGCCACGAGCCCAGAGGTTCGCGAACTTACGAAGCATTGCACAGGAGTTGCACACGCGCTGTCCACGAGCACCGCCTGGCGCGCGCCAGCGCGGCATGGGGCGAGCGCCAGGGGCCGTCGGCGCGCGACGGCGGCTGGGGCGGGAGCAGCGACGGGCACTAGCGTTCCGCGGGAAGGCCACGAGCCTTCTGCGAGACGGCGGCGGCGGCGACGGCGGCGGCGGCGATGACGGCGGCGACGACGGCGGCGGCGGCGGCGACTGCGGCGGGGTTGATGGATGTGGCGGACGGGGGAAGATGATAATGATAACCAGGATGGAGGAGGAGGAGGAGGAGGAGGAAGAGGAGGAGGAGGAGGAGGAGAGGCGGAGGAAGTGGAGGAGGAGGAGAGGGGAGGAGGAGGAGGAGGAGGGAGGAGGAGGAAGGAGGAGGGGGAGGAGGGAGGAGGAGGAGGAGGAGGAGGAGGAGGAGGGGAGGAGGAGGAGGAGGAGCGGAGGAGGAGGAGAGAGAGGAGGAGGAGGAGGATGAGGAGGAGGAGGAGGAGGAGGAGGAGGAGGAGGAGGAGGAGGAGGGGGCGGGAGGGAGGAGGAGTAGGAGGAGGAGGAGAGAGGAGGAGGAGGAGAGGAGGAGGAGGAGGAGGAGGAGTTGGAGGAGGAGGAGGAGGAGGAGGAGGAGGAGGAGGAGCGAGGAGGAGGAGGATGAAGGAGGCGGAGGCGGATGCGGAGCGGAGGAGGAGGACGGCCGGGCCGGGAGGCGGGGCGGCAGGTCGGAGGCGGAGCGGAGGCTGGAGGCGGGGAGGCGGAGGAGGAGGAGAGGAGGAGGAGGAAGGAGGAGGAGGAGGAGGAGGAGGAGGAGGAGGAGGAAAAGGAGGAGGAGGAGGTGGAGGAGGAGGAGGAGGAGGAGGAAAGGAGGAGGAGGAGGAGGAGGAGGAGGAGGAGGGGGAGGAAGGAGGAGGAGGAGGAGGAGGAGGAGGACTGGAGGAGGAGGAGGAGGAGGAAGAGAGGAGGAGGAGGAGGGAGGAGGAGGGAGGAGGAGGAGGAGGAGGAGGAGGGAGGAGGAGGAGGAGGAGAGGAGGAGAGGAGGAGGCAGGAGGAGGAGAGAGGAGGAGGAGGGCGGAAGGAGGAGGAGAGGAGGAGGAGGAGGAGGAGGAGGGGAGGAGGAGGAGGAGGAGGAGGGGAGGATGAGGAGGAGGAGGAGGAGGAGGAGAGTAGGAGGAGGAGGGGCGGAGGAGGAGGAGGAGGAGGAGGAGGAGGAGGAGGAGATGGAGGAGAGGGAGGAGAGGGAGGAGAGGGAGGTGAAGGAGGAGAGGAGAGAGAGGGAGGAGAGGGAGGAGAGGGAGGAGAGGGAGGAGTGGGAGGAGAGGGAGGAGAGGGAGGAGAGGGATTTTTGACATGCACCGCAGCAAAGCACCTCCCTCCACCAGTCAAAACAGGCTGAGCGGCGAGGCGCGAGGAGCTCACACTCCTGAGTCGCGCAAGCGAGGCCAGGAGCAGCGAGCAGGCGACAGAGCCAGCAGCGAAACCACACGGCTTCCGCACGCCGAGGGGGGGACCATCACGCCAAAGAGCGATTGGCCCAACCGTCCCCCCCAGAGCTCACGGGCACAGAGCAGCCATCGTGCTGGACAGAATAGTCACCCTGGGCCGCTTCGGATGGCGGCCAGATAATAGCTTGGCCCAGGCGTCGGGTGTACTGGGCAGGCCATCCTTGTTGACAGGAGGGCCAGTGCAACGACTCGCGAGGTGAGCGAGCCGCAGTCCTGAGGTGTAGCACTTGCACACCTGGCAGAAGCAGATAAAAGAATCGTCGCTGCAATCCACTACCCAGCACCTGTGGCCGAGTTGCATCAGACGAGCGACGTTGACGCGGCAATGGTGGGAGCAGACCCCAGGAGGCGGCTCCGCCG